AGGCTGGTCTTGAACTCCTGACCTCAAGTGATCCCAAAGGTTAGGATTATAGGCGTGAGCCACCACTCGCAGCCTCACTATCTTTTTTTATAAGTTCAATATTTTCTTGAATAAGTTAATTTTTAGGTGCTAAGTCATATCTTTCAAAAATTAAAAATACATAAAAAAAGAAATTGTCTTCATCTCACCCATGTCTGAGTAACCACCCCTCCTTATGCTTTGCCTCTACAGGTAACTCTTGTGTCAGTTTCTGACTTAACAAATTTCTAATACTTTCTTTACACAAAAATTTAAAAAGCAAACAAACATACTTTTCTTAAAAAAGTCACTTTTCTTACAGAAGAGGTAGCACTTACAGAAGAGGTAGCATACTGATTTGAACATGGCCCTTTTTCTACTTCCTGTGTTCTGGTGATCTTTCCATATCATCCTTCTTTTATAGCACCATGGTTCCAACTTCATTGTTCTGTGTGTGTGGTTTACATTGTGCCACTATCCCATAGTAAATTTAACTGGTCCCTGTTAATACATATTTGAATTGTTTATAAACTTTTTTTTTTGAGACAGAGTCTCGTTCTGTCCCCCAGGCTGGAGTGCAGGGGTGGGATCTCAGCTAACTGCAACCTCCGCCTCCCAGGTTCAAGCAATTCTCCTAAGTAGCTGGGATTACAGGCCTGTGCCCCCACGCTTGACTCATTTATGTATTTTTAGTAGAGACAGCATTTCACCATGTTCGTCAGGCGGGTATTGAACTGACCTTGTGATTCGCCCACCTCAGCCTCCCAAAGTTCTGGGATTACAGATGTGAGCCCCATGCCCCAGCTTTTTGCTTTTATTTTTTATTTATTTATTTATTTAGAGATGGAGTTTCATTTTACTGCCAAGTCTAGAGGGTAGTGGTGTGATCCTAGCCCCTTGCAGCGTCAGCCTCCTGGGCTTAAGTGATCCTCCTGCCTCAGCCTCCTGGAGTAGCTGGGACTACAAAAATAGAACACTGTGCCTGGCTAGTTTTTTTAGTTTTTGTTTTTTGTAGACACTAGGTCTGGCTTGGTTGCCCAGGCTGGTTTCAAACCCCTGGTTTCAAGCAATCTTGCTTCAGCCTCCCAAAATGTTGAAATTACAGGTGTGAGCCACTGCGCCCAGCCTCTTTGCTTATATAAACAGTACTGTAATGAATCATTTTGGGCATGTGTAGCAGTTCATAGAAGCATATCTGGGTTACGGGAGGCCTTTTGTTTGTTTGTTTTTTTGAGTTTCTGCACTAGACCCTAGCAGACCAAACCAAAATAGTTACATATACTAAATGCCACACAATTAACAATGGAAACTTTTTTTACAGACCAGTTTTTCCTGGAAACAGAAGATCCCAGTCTGCCTTTATCAGATAATAAGGAAGTCCCTTCTGCTTTAACCCTTAGAAAAAAAGTAACCTGATGTCAACCAATCAGTTATTTTTCATTGTTTTGTGGTTCCTTGCTCTAAACTTACAAAACTCACTATTCCCATTGGGGCTTTAATTCTATTTTGCAGAATGGAGGCTGCCCCATTCATAAATTATGAATAAATACCAGATCTATAACTAAGTTTGTTACAGTTTTTTCTAACACAAAGCATTGCCAAATGGCCCTTCATAGGGGAAGTACTAGTTTGTTTTTTTTTTTTTTCTTTTTACCAATCCCTGTCCCCTATGCCTTTTTTAAAAAAAGAGATGAAATCTCACTGTTAACCAGGTAATTGCACTGGTTATTCACAGGCATGATCATAGCACATGCAGCTTCAAACTAGTTGGGCTGAAAGGATCTTCCTGCCTCAACCTCTCGAGTCGTTGGGCCTATAGGCATGTGTCACTGTGTCTAGCTCCCTGTATCTTGCTAACAGAGCATATTGACAAACTTGGATTTCTGCCCATCAAATAGGTTTGAACTGTAATTATGTACTTATATTTCAGGCCTTCAGCTTTGCAAAACCCCTACTTTTGAAAAAAAATTTTTTTTTTGAGATGCAGTCTCACTTTGTCACCCAAAATGGAGTGCAGTGGTACTATCTCAGCTCCGTGCAACCTCTACCTCCTGGGTTCAAGTGATTCTCGTGCCTCAGCCTCCTGAGTAACTGGGGTTACAGGCATCCACCACCACACCCAGCTAATGGTTGTATTTTTAGTAGAGATGGGGTTTCACCATTTTGGCCAAGCTGGTCTCGAACTCCTGACCTTAAGTGATCTGCCCACCTTGACATCCCAAAATCCTGGGATTACAGGCGTGAGTCACTGCACCCAGCCAGATGCTCGTTTTAAAAGGTTCAGAGTTGAAAAGTATTAACAGTAGGGTTTACTATGTAGCACAGTTGTAAGTACTTTATCTATATAATGTTAAGTATATATATATGTGATGTAATTCATGACTGTGATAAATATTGTCCTCATTACTCACCCATTTTATGTATGAGAAAACAAGTCCAGAAAAGTAACTTCCCAAGGTCACTCTTAGGACAGAGCTATGATTTGAACATCTGACTTCTGAAGGTGAGTTCTTAGTTGTTACCTCTTTGGCATTCCCCAGAGGCAAGCCATTTTTTACATTGAAAAGTGCCTCCTTTCCTTTTTGATCAGTCCCTGATGCTCTGTGAGCTTACAGAAAAACCTGTCATGAATCAAACTGTTTCTTAAAAGGTTGATTTTTGGCCAGGTGTGGTGGCTCATGCCAGTAATCCCAGCACTTTGGGAGGCCGAGGCAGGTGGATCTCAAGGTCAGGAATGCGAGACCAGCCTGGCCAAAATGGTGAAACCCCATCTTTACTAAAAATACAAAAATTAGCTGGGTGTGGTGAGAGGCACCTGTAATCCCAGCTACTCGGGAGGCTGAGGTAAGAGAATCGTTTGAACTAGGGAGGCAGAGGTTGCAGTGAGCCGAGATGACGCCATTGCATTCCAGCTAGGGCAACAGGGCAAGACTCTGTCTCAGGGGGAAAAAAAAGTTGATTTTTAAGGCTGGAATTTTCTGATTAGGTATGGGTGTTGTTCCAATCTTATCAGCTATATTACCTTAAGGGGAGTCCTAATCTAAAGGATTAGCACAAAATAACCTATTTCTTTCCTTTCAGTTTCATTCCAGAAGGAAACACTTTCTGAACCTAGCCCCTAATTCCTAGGCTATGCCTTGCAGGGCACTAATGTCAAAACTGTTTCCTTTGGGTGGCTTGGAAAGAGCAGAGGGACCTGTCTTTGCTCAAGGGCTATTTGAATTGCAAATTTCCCTAAAGTGTAGTAATTCTTTTCCTTCCTAGAGCCAATAGGCTCTGACAATTGAGCCCCCAACCTGATTTCTTCCATGGTTTGTGGAATAAGCCTTACAGTGTTTTCTATGAAGATGAAATGAGCACACATGTCAGAGGGTTTTGAAAACCATCAGTTTTACCATGAGGAGCATCTTTCAGGAGTTGGATGGTTTTCTCTGCATATTAAAAGATTTATTTTTTATAAGAGTTTTTCTCTAACATCAAGACAGGAGCTGTCCTCAATGTGGCCTCTAGTTCACCAGATCAAATTTAAGTCAAAATTTGTAATAAAGTAGCTCCGGAAGGAAACATACAACATGCAACTTAATATTCACATTTAGTTTGTCAGTTCCAGGAAGGCAGAAGTTCAGGATCAAGCGCGAGAGCTGGGCTGCCAGCACAGTCCCTAGGCATTCTTCACAGAGGGGGGAAAAGCAGAAGCCATGTAGTCAGTCTTAAGACCCTGGCCTAAGCTGTCTTCGTAATCTTTTTGCTGGTTGGGCTGCTTGGAATATCTCAATGTTGGGAAAGAACAAGGCTCAGCCAACAGAGAGGACCTTCCTATGTGCCAGCTACCATGTCCTGTAATCAAGTGTTTCTTAGTTCCCCTTACACCTCTATATTTCAAAAAGTCCTCTGGCCCTGAAAATGTGATGAGAGTGCCACCTGACAACTTACCATCAGCCAATATCTGATTTGGTGGTCTAGTCGGGTCTTGCTTCCCAAGCTTTTCAGAAACGCTGATGAAACAGGCATAGGGTCTAAACTTAGGGAGGGCAAACCTTACAGCCAATTCTAAACGCAGCAAGCAAAATATATAAACGCCTAAGGCGTTGAATCTTTATGTGAAAGCCATAGCCCTTTAGAGCTAACATTTACAACCTTCTTAATTATCATAGGAAGTACATACAGAGGGGTAAAGTGATTTAACTAGGAATCTACCCCACACCTGAAAGGTTAGGTCATTAATTGCGGGTGCACGGGAGAGATGGTGGGATGGGAGGGACAGAAGACATGTTTAGATATATCTGGTAAGTAATTTGGTGGTAGTGGCAGCCTTGATTCCTACTCAAAACCCTACCCCCTCTTTTTAAAAAAATCGCATTTTCGAGACAAAAGGAATATAACATAACTCAGTATTTCCTGAAACTGACAGTTTCTAAGAACTGTCCAAGAGTACTTACACGCGTATTCCCAAGACCACTGGAGTTCGATAGGTAGGGATCTGGGGATATGTGTTTTACAAGCAACATGAGCGATTCTTACAAATTGTGTGTTGAAATCAAAAGAGCACAATTCATGCTGCTGTTTTGTGCACTCCTTGAGCTAAAGGGGAGTATCCTACCCCATCCATAAACAGACACCTAAGTTATAAAACTTCTGCCCTCGATTTGCAAAAATAGCCCCTTTTATGCAGAAACGTTCCTTTCCTTCTTTTCCTTATCTATGTTTTAACTGTCATCACTAGTAACCTAGACCTCAGTGGCTTTTTCCAGTCAGCTCGGCCGGACACACGCTCTGCCCAGAAAGGGACCTGATTTACCCAAGGCCAGGCGGTCTGGGGCCACGTCTGAGTCCGGCTGCCGTGCCGCGCTCCCATTGGCTGCAAGTTCCCTCGCCTGAGCCAGGGCGGCTCCTGCTCGCCACGCCAACCCCAGTGGGCTCCGGACCGCCCAGGGGGCGGGGCTTGGATGGCGGGGCGGGGCCCGGGTGAGGGGCGGGGCCTCGCGGCGTTGTGGACGTCCCGGCGGCCTAAGCACGGGAGGGAGTCCTGGGCCGCGCCCCGCGAGGCCGGGCCCAGGCCGGGCCAATCTCGGACCACTGGGCCGGCGAACACGGGTCCTGGCTGGCCCGCCCGAGAGCCTGGGGGTTGGGGACAATGGGCTAGTTCCTGGTGCGTCACGGGGGAGTTCCTTAAAGGGGAAGTGAGCCGGGCTTCGAGGCGAGCGCGGAGTGCGGTAGTCGACGGGGGAGGCCCCCGCGCTTTAAAATAATGCCCGCGGCGCCCGCGCGACCATGCAATGGCGAGCGCTCCTCCTGGGGCTGGTGCTCCTCCGGCTTGGCCTCCATGGAGTATTGTGGCTCGTTTTCGGGCTGGGGCCCAGCATGGGCTTCTACCAGCGCTTTCCGCTCAGCTTCGGCTTCCAGCGTCTGAGGAGCCCCGACGGCCCCGCGTCGCCCGCCTCGGGCCCCGTGGGCCGGCCTGGGGGACTGTCGGGGCCGTCGTGGCTGCAGTCGCCGGGAACCGGGGCGGCGCGGGGCCCGCGGCAGGCTCCGCGGCGTCCCGGGCCGGGAATGTGCGGCCCGGCCCATTGGGGCTACGTGCTGGGCGGCCGGGGCCGCGGCCCGGACGAGTACGAGAAGCGCTACAGCGGCGCCTTCCCTCCGCAGCTGCGTGCCCAGATGCGCGACCTGGCACGGGGCATGTTCGTCTTTGGCTACGACAACTACATGGCGCACGCCTTCCCCCAGGACGAGCTCAACCCCATCCACTGCCGCGGCCGTGGGCCTGACCGCGGGGATCCGTGAGTAGCCCCCGCCGCCTGGGGCCGCGCGCTCACGAGCTTCCTTTCGCCCTCCGCGCTGGGGTTCAGCCCTCTGTCCTCCGGGTTCCTCGAGGGCGCCAGGGCCGTTAGGGTCCCGGGCAGCGCCTCAGCGCCGTGCCCCGCCTGAGTCCCTGTGAGGATCCCCGAGCTTGAGGGTGCGGGGTGGGCTGGTAGCCTTCTTCTCTTGATTCTTCCGGAATCTCCGAACTTCAGAACCGGTGTCCAGCTCAGTGTCTTACACATGAGGAAACTGAGGCCCAGAGACCAGAAGTGACAGTGGTAGTGCCAAGGGCTGGCTTGGAGGGCTTTCCACTTTCATCTCGAGCCCCTCCTCCGATGAACATAAACTCTAAATGAAATCTCCATGCTCCCCGTGTAAACGCAGCTTTAGAACAAGCCTTAACCCCCGCCCCACCTCCATCAGATTTCCACACCCACGTCTTTTCTATGTAAAAATCCAGGAGTTCACCCCAAGAAAGGACTTCTCTTCAAAGGCGGCCGTTGAGTTTGAGGCAGAACGGGGTTACCTCCTGTCTCTTTCACAGGGGCTGCTTCTTAAGCTCAGGGTTGTTAGGTGGCGGGGAGGGATGCTATGTGGCCCACATTTGAGGTGCAGATGCTTGGGGTGAAATTCTTTGTATGCTGAATTGACTGTCAGCGTCGTTGCTCTGTACGATCTGTCCTATAAATTCCCCCATACTGGTGGCGTGGTTGTCAGGGAAGGTCAGCCAGTCCTCACAGTCCACCAGCCTTGTTTGCAAAGGCTGAGGTCCAAGGGTCACTGCTGCTGACATCAAAGTCCAAGAGGGCAACACACCCAGCTAAAGACCTTTTACCTGGAGGGAAGGAGTGTGCATTACCATAGACCCTGTTAGTCCAGATAAGTGACTCGCCTCTCCTAGATGGAAGTTGGTTTGCTCAGTGTCTTGGCACTGTCTGGGGCAAGCATTTTCCTTTACCTGGAGGAAAGCAGTGGAATCCAGTTCTTAGGTTCTGATAAGGAAGCCTATAGACTAAACGGACTTGAGTTTTTAAAATGGTTTGGTTACCTAAAAATTTATGTTTTTTTTTTTTTTAAGACAGAGTTTCGCTCTTGTTACCCAGGCTGGAGCGCAATGCAGCAATCTCGGCTCACTGCAACCTCCACTTCCTGGGTTCAGGCAATTCTCCTGCCTCAGCCTCCTGAGTAGCTGGGATTACAGGCACGCGCCACCATGCCCAGCTAATTTTTTGTATGTTTAGTTGAGATGGGGTTTCAGCATGTTGACGAGGATGGTCTCGATCTCTTGACCTCGCGATCCACCCGCCTCAGCCTCCCAAAGTGCTGGGATTACAGGCGTGAGCCACCGCGCCCAGCCCAAAAATTTATGTTTTAAATTGCAGTTTGAGAGCATGATTTCTAATGAAGCAAGGGGATATCCGAGGCTAAATTCAGTGGACTGAGCCTTTTGAAAATTGTAGGAAACCGATGAGTTTTTCTTGCTGAACCATAGCATTTATACATACGTATAAGTGTAGTTTCTATCTCAATTTTTTTTGAGAAAAAAATATTAAATTTTGAAAAGTATTTGGCCTTTCCAGATTTTAAGAAATGTATGAATTATTTGGCTCACTTAACTCGAGGAGACTTTATATTTATAAATGTATTTTCTATCTCAGTTTTTTTGGGGAGGGGAATAAACTTCTTTAAATTGTGGCCTTTTTTTTTGTCAGCCTACATTATGCTTTGATGTTTTTTCTTTCTAAATCAACATCATTAAATTTTGAAAAAAATCATAAAATCCCACCAGTTATTTTAAATTTGTTTGCCGCTAGCTCCTGCCCATATGCCTTCACATTTTTTGCGTAGTTGCAGTCATAGTGTGTGTACATAGTTTGGAACTTAATTTGTGCTTTTCCACTAGTACACTTGGTATAGGAAGGGAGAGAGCACTTTCAGTAAGTGCCTTTATTCTTGCTTACAGACTGTTTCTCAGATTACCTTTTACCTGGTGGACTGAAGTTGAAAACAGTTTAACAGGGAATTGTGGTAACACTCTCATTTGAGAATATGATGGTTTGGAGAGTGAGTTGATGACATTTTAGTGTTTTTCTTAATGAACCTTAAGAGCGCACCTGGAGAACCTTAAGACTCCGTTCCCAGCAAAGTGAGGTGGTGGTTGATTTTTTACTTGCTGGAGTTCATGGTATCATGTGTGCCATTGGCCTTTATTTCAGGATGAAGGCTGCTGATGAGTGTCTTGGTTTGGTTATGCATTTGTTAGGTTATGTGTAAGTTAAGGTCAGGTTTGAGACTGATGTGTTATTAGAAAGAAGGTGTTAGAAGTATTGGGGAGGTTGGGATGGCATTAGGGACAGTTTGTGCCCCGAGTTGGGTGGGGCTGTTGGTTGGTAAACCTTTGTTGTCTTTGAGGAGGCCAAAGAAGCTTTGCGTAGACTCCTTACACTTGTCACTTAACAACGAGTAGAAAAGTTAATTTTTTGTACTCTCCTTCCTTTAACTCCACTCAGGCTTTGCTATTTTTAAAAATATTTTTTAAAAAAATTTTATTTTTAGTACATAGTAGGTATATATATTTATAGAGTACATGAGATATTTTGACACAGGCATGCAATTCTTAATAATCACATCATGGAAAATTGGGTATCCAACCCCTCAAGCATTTTTCCTTTGTGTTGTAAACAATCCAATTATACTTAGTTATTTTTAAATGTACATTAAATTATTGTTGACTGTAGTTCTCCTGTTGTGCTATCAAATACTAGGTCTTGACGAAAGTTTAGAACCAGAGTATGTCATGCTGGCTTTGAAACTTCACATCCCCACACTAATCTATAATAAAAATCATATTTTGTGTTTGTTTGTTTAATAGACAAGGTCTTGTTCTGTCACCCAGGCTGTAGTGCAGTGGCATAATCATAGCTCATTGCACCCTTGAAATCCTGGGCTCGAGCAGCCCTCCCACCTCAGCTTCCAAAATAGGTGGGACTAGAGGTGTGTCCCACCATGCTTAGCTAATTTATAAAAAAGATTCTGTAGAAATGGGGTCTTACTTTGTTGTCTAGGTTGGTCTTGAACCCCTGGCCTCAAACAGTCTTCCCGCCTTGGCTTCCCAAGGTGCTGGGATTATAGGTGTGAGCCACTAAGCCCAGCCAAAAATCTTTCAGATTTAAAAAAATCAAATGTATTCTAATGATTCATTTAACAAGAGTGAATTTTCCATTACAATATTATATAAAAAGTATACATACAAAATATCGGTGCAAAACACTCTTACCTTTTCTCTGTATTCATATGTACTCCAGGCTCATCTTGCATCAAGTACATGTGACGTGTTCTTAGAGAGGTGTTTCATAGGGAGTTAACATGAAGTAAATAAAACCGGAATACTCTAAAAATAGCAAATCTTTCTAACTTCAGATAACTATGCAAAGTCCATTCTTCTCACATCCTCAATTTGGGTTGGAGGTTCCAAATTTAAAGTTTCTTTGAGTAAATGTGGATATTATATTTTTGTAATCCTGTGAATGGTAAACTATAGTTCTGGACTTTGGGCATGTAACCATTCTCAATTTCTTTTGTACTGTATTGCTATTAAAACAACAAAGCAAATCTCAAGCCAAACAAACACCTGCCCCTCAAATGCTTAGGTACAGCTAGCTCAAGATGGCCTCCTCTACATTCCTCTTTCTTTGAACAGTCCTGCCCTCTTTCAGAGTCAGACTCGTGTTGTTTCCATGACGCCATCTAACTGTTTGAAGATGATTCTCCTTGATTTACTCAATTCTCCTTTTGATTCCTTTCCTTTGAGCTGTGTGGTTCCACATTTTAACCTTGTTTGAGAATTGAGTGCTGTTGTGTACTCACCTTCATTTCCCTTTGTCTTATCTCTCCAGATTATCAATCCCTTGAACACAGGGACTGTTTCTTGTATTATCTCTGTGCCTACACCATGCCAGGTAGATTTCTGAACAGATGTTACATGTTAAGTATGCGTGGGAATTTTTTAAAAACACGTATGTTTGATTTTGTTAACTGCATAATAAAAATTTTCTACCAAAGGCCATGGTTTTCTCCATCTTTTCTGTTTTGAGGTGAACTTTAAGAATTCACGGCGGGGTGAATGCCATGAACATTTGTACCTGGTGAAGTAAGTGGAGCATTTAGTTGTGCAGTTCAGCCAGCTGGTTACAGGGAAAGGTATTGAGATTCTTGTCTTGATGCACTTAAAGGTATCAGGTTAGGCTGGATGTTGACAAGAATATCTACAAAGAACAAATCCAGAGTCTTACCTGCATAGTGGGCTGGCACATATGGAGTCATAATAGTTTCGTGCTGTTAGGCCAGGAGAGTTTTACGGTGTTTTATTTTTCCTTCATCCTCACTCCCACTTCCCCCTTATTTTGGCACATTTTGAAAGAGGATGTAGGAACTATTTGGTAAGAAAGAATTTCAAGTGTGCTAATGAATACCCCAGATCTTGGAGTGGATTTGTCTGACTAGAGTGGAGAGAAGGAACCCCACGTTTACTGCAAATACTTTTTTTTTTTTCCTTGTGGCAACTCATTAATTTTTAGTGACGCTTGGGCGTGGTAAAAGAAATATTTTAAGACTGGGTCTCTTTTAGTTATAGATTAAAAGGCAAAGCACAATAAAACATGGAAAGGAGTTCAGTGCTCACAGTGAGTACCTTCCTTCCATGGGGCTGTGCAGGTGGAGAGAGTGACACATGCCACAGATCTCGGTGTGACTCAGGAGAGGGGAGTTACATGTATTTCTCCTGATTGCCATCTAGCTTGGATGCTATGTGATGAGGGAGCTATTTTCTGATGAGGTGGGCTGTTAAAGCCCACTCTGTTTCTAAGCAGCAGAGCAACATAGTTAAATATTTACACACAGCAGAACATTCTTGAGTTGGCATAATTGGGTGTGAGGATCTCCTTGTCTCCTTTGAGCCCTTCCTGCAACCCTGGCATTTTTAATATCCTTCTTGGCTGTCAGTTGCCCTTGAGAGGCATATTTGAATCCATAGCTCTCACCTTGAGGGGACCTTTTGCTATCGTGCAAGTTTATTTTCAAAGAATCAACCAATAGAAGAAACAGGTGCAGTTTTCCAGCCAAGCAGTTTGTTCACTTACCAGCTTATAGGAAATGAGATAGCTATAGCCCCCATATATATCTTGTTTCAAAAAACTGTATCCAAGATTTTACTATAAATTCTTTTCTTTAGATTAGGTGGCATAACAGCATGAAACAAAGCAACTGGAAGGTTCAAATAAAATCAGACATTGGAGTTGTTATGCTCTTTTACATAAGCCCCATTTCCCTCCAGCTGAGGCACAGGCCTTTCAGAGAACACAGCAAGCCATCACAACATGGGAGGTGCTGTGCACCAGAGGCTTCTCTCACTGAGAAGTGAGATAAGGACCATTAGGGTGACCCAAAGAGCAGATAAAGTGCTCTGGGATATGATGCAAGACTGCAGATATTAATGAATCTTGCTGGAAATAAAATTGGAGCTTTTGGTTGCTAATAAAATCTTTAAACAGTTGTCTTATGTCTTCTCTTACTATTATTTTTTCCAATCTTCTGCACTTATTTTCTGGGTTTGTGGGAATGGGACAAAGGAATAAATGAAGCTCCCAGAATTTCTTCAACTGTCCTTTATTGCTTTCGCTAGTTCTTCATCCCTACTCTCCCAGATGTATTAGTTTTTTTGTTGTGACTTTTTTTTAAGTGTTATAAAGACATAGCACAGTGCCTGAGGAGCTTCACCGTCATTGCCATCCTGACATTGGTTTCTTGAGGTTGTTTCAGAGTGGAAAATTGGTGTTGATTCTGGGGGTGAGCAGTGTGTGACAGAAACATTTATGTAGCTCCAGTTACGAAGGAAAAAAGGCCTCAGTTCCTGCTTTGGTTCCTGTTAAATGATATCTCAGAATTAATAGAAATAATGGAGACCCTTTGGATGAGATGTTAATGAAGAAATGGTGTAAAGAATTCATACCCCCAATCACAGGGCAGATGAGTAATATTGACACTGTAAATGAATGTGTTTACTTCTTTTTTGTGTATGATAGGCTGTGGTGTCTAATTTCTGTATTAAAGTATTACAGGTGGGTCGTATGACAAGGGCTCTTCTTCCTAATAATTGTGAAATCAGAGCTTTTTAAAGTTGGACAGGACTAAAGAGATTGTCTCTGGTGGTAAAACTGAATCTCAGAGAGAGGAGATGACTCACAGCCTCCTGACTTCCCATGAGCATTCTTTCCACTCTAGTACAAGTGTGTCTGCAGTTTTGTGACTCAATTCTACTTATGGACACCATAGAAAGTGTTGCTTTTGGGATAAAAAAACCTTTGCCATACGAATTCACCTGTAATTAGTTCCTGAATAAGTAAGAGTTGCTGGCAATTATAGTTTCTGATAGGTGTTTAGTTTTATTGTCTTCTCTTTTAAAATAAAGTATTTTTGCTTAATTTTAATTTTCTTTTTCAGTTCAAATCTGAACATCAATGATGTACTAGGGAACTACTCATTGACTCTTGTTGATGCATTGGATACACTTGCAGTAAGTGTTCACTTTTTTTAAAAAAATTGAGATGTTTTGGAATTGATTATTCCTAGTTCCCTCCAGCAATGGGAATTCCAAGGAGCCTGATAAGTCAAAATGTATTGTTAGCTTTGATAACTGTTACTTATTTTAATGACCTTAATGGGGAGAATAAGAAAAGTGTTGAAGGTTAAATGACAGGAAATGCGATTCCATTAAAAAAAGGAGAAGAAATGTGTGATTGATTTTAGGGAACCTATTTTTTTTCTTTTTCTTTTTTACCACTTTGTGTCTTCCCTAAAAGAACCTATAGCAAGCGAATCTCATTAATATTGATAATTACTCTAGTTGCTATTCCAGGAGTAAAAGAGAGAAGATCTCAGGGTCGGCAGGTACCCTAAAATACCATCTAGCTACTCGCTCTCCCAAGGGCAAGCTGGAGCTCTAGTGCCAGTCCTTATGTGGGGCTTTCTAGAAACCCTTCTCTTTTATTTACTACTTCATGTTTTGTGGACACTCCATGCCTGAGCTGCCGATATGGGTACTGACATCTCCTTATCCTGTGGTTTTGCTCGTTGAGTCTGGAGAACTGGAGACCTTTGAGCAGATACCCAGAAGCACCTTGAAGGGAGTGTGTGTGGCACTTGGTGCACGGTGCCATGTCTGTGTGCTTTGTCTGCTTCACCTTTTGCCGTAAAACGGTTTCCAGGGGACTGTATTACAGCATAGTGTTGTTTTCAAATCTTCTTAGTAAAGATGATTTTACATCCTCTTTGCTTTCCTTCATTGTCCAGCAAGCCTTTACCATGAGAAAATTCTCATTGTGGTCTAGCCCAAATCTTGTGCCTAATAATTTATTCTTGTTTCTTTTAACATGCTGTAGAAGAGTTTAAAGCTGTCTGTCAAGAGTTAGAATGGGGCCTGCATGTAGTGGCTCACGCATATAATCCCAGCACTTAGGGCGTGGAGGCAGGTGGATCACCTGAGGTCGGGAGTTTTAGACCAGCCTGGCCAACAGGTGAAACCTCTTCTCTACTAAAAATATAAAAATTAGCTGGACATGGTGGTGAACACCTGTAATCCTAGCTACTGGAGAAGCTGAGGCGGGAGAATCACTTGAACCCAGGTGGCGGAGGTTACGGTGAGCTGAGACTGCACCACTGCACTCCAGCCTGGGAGACAGAGTGAGACTTCATCTCTCACACACATACACACAAAGGAATTGGGTAATGTGCTAGCCAAGTTTGCATTATGATTGTATAGTCTCTTGCCAGTAGTAGAATTACCACAACTTGGAAGGAGCTTGAGAGATCATTCTACATCATTTTATAAATAAGTAATAGAAATAGGACTAGGCCCATGGTCTAATAGGAAATCTGGGGTACTGATTTAGTATAATTTAAATTGCAAAGCACGTTAGTTTCCCAATGTCTCCTTCTGAAGTTATTGCTGCTGTGTTTCAGTCATTTACCATCAGTGATCAAAATGTGCCCAGACAAGTATGTTTGACCTTAGAGCTAATTTGTTGATAATACCAGAGGCTGACTCAGCCTACAAGTGTTGCTTAAAGGAAACGTCCTGACTTATGTATAGCTCATGATGAAAGCTTATTTCTTTTTTTCTTTTTTTGAGATGGAATCACACTCTGTCGCTCCAGGCTGGACTGCAGTGGCATGATCTCAGCTCACTGCAACCTCTGTCTCCTGGGTTCAAGTGATTCTCCTGCCTCAGCCTCCCTAGTAGCTGGCTTTTTTTTTTTGCCCCATTTTGTCTTTTTATCCCCCTACCATGCTTGCTATTCTGTTGTTTGCTATACTTTCCCTCACTCTTAATGGTGTCTGGTGCTTAGTAGCAGTGCAAGTGTTTGTTCAAAAAATGAATTCCAACTAATTAAGCATTTCGAAACACAAATTCTAAAGACATTTACTCCCTGAAAGAACAGTTCTGTTTCCAAATGAACTTGAGAAATTCTGAATGTCTGGACCCACTATGAGAGAGCCATAGTGCTCATCAGCATTTTAAAGACTGAGAAATTTTACTATCAAACAGACAAACCCATTTAGCTCTCTGTCCCATTCAGCCTTTTTCAAACATGAGTGACTGATTTCAGAACGTGGGTACCTGGGGTTCTGTAGCTATCTGACCATAATGGTAAACTACAATAAGCAGGAGTTGTTGACTTGCTTCACCATCCTTGCTTGAGTTGAGCTCATGTCAGCACCTGCAGCTTCACCAGATATTGTTGCTGGTAAACATCTATAAGGAAACAGACCCATCTCTGTGGTTTTCATTGTATAATATCCGGCCTTTAGTGCTTCAGGGTTATTTTTCAGGTGTTAACTTCTGTTGAGGTTTTCCTTTTCTTTTGTTAATATTTAAACGGGCTTTAACAGATGGGGTATGGAAACACTGTGAAGATACCAATCCCCTGATTATTGGATGCAACTTGCAGCATTATTGCATCATTTTCTAAAAAGAAAGAACTGAAACCTAGAAATGTCTGTACTTACTCTGTAGGTCACAGCAAAATAATGATGAGGTGGAAAAAATGTAGACCAATAAATATTAGGAAATAAGACATATTTGAAAATAGTAGTGTCTGATGAAGAAACAAATAGTGTCTCAGTTAATTTAGAAAGTTTATTTTGCCAAGGTTAAGGACACACCCTTGACACAGCTTCAGGAGGTCCTGATTACATTGCCCAAGGTAGTTGGGCACAGCTTGGTTTTAAACATTTCAGGAGACATGAGACATCAATCAGTATGTGTAAGATGTACATTGATTTGGTCCAGAAAAATGGGACAACTTGAAGTGGTGGGAGTGGGATGAGGGGGCACTTCCAGGTCATAAGTAGATAAAAGACAAATGGTTACATTTCTTTTTTTCTTTTTTGTTGAGACAGTCTTGCTCTGTTACCCAGGCTGGAGTGCAGTGGTGCAATCTCAGCTTACTGTAACCTCTGCCTTTCCATGGGTTCAAGCAGTTCTTGTGCCTCAGCCTCTGAAGTAGCTGGGATTACAAGTGTGTGCCACTATGCCTGGCTAATTTTTGTATTTTTAGTAGAGGTGGAGTTTCACCGTGTTGGCTAGGCTTGTCTTAAACTCCTGGCCTCAAGTGATCTGATTGCCTAGGCCTCCCTAAGTACTGATCTTACAGACCTGCGCCACCCTGCATAGCTGGTTGCATTTTTTTTGATGGTCTGATTAGCCTTCCACTGAATACACAATTTACCTGTGACAAAGGTAGAGGAATAGTCACTTATGCCTCTGTCTGGCTTAGTGAGTCTGCATTTTTACATTAATAATAGGGTAGAGGAAACAATTAGATACGCATTTTTCTCAGGTGAGCAGACTGAGTTCTGTCCCTTGTGGGCACCTATGAAGATAAGTGATCAAGTTACATTGCCAGGGTGAAATTCAGCAGAATTGTTTTGGGGTGAAGATCTTGAGGACCACAGGACTGTCTTTGTAGATGAATTGTGAGGGACATACAGAGCTTTTTTATCTTTGTAGCTATCTTATTTAGGAATAAAAGGGGAGGCAGGTTTGCCTGTTACAGCTCCCAGCTTAACTTTTCTCTTTGGCTTAGTGATTTTGGGGTCCCAGAAATTTATTTTTCTTTCACAGTATGTCCTTATATTGTCATTATGGTCCCAGGGTTGTCATAAAATTTTGAGTGGAGTGAAATCATTTTGATTCAGGTTAATCTATAAAGTTTGATGCCAAACTGTGCTTCACATAGGAGAGAGTAGCTTAGTGTGACATCACATCTACGCATCCAAAATAGGAATCATAATTCTAGATCAGTTTTTGTTTGTTTTTTAAAAATATATTTTATTGCATTTTAGGTTTTGGGGTACATGTGAAGAACATGCCAGCTTGTTGCATAGGTACATACATGGCAGTGTGATTTTCTGCCTTCCTCCCCATTACCTATATCTGGCATTTCTCCCCATGCTCTCTCTCCCCAACTCCCCACCCCTTGCTGTCCATCCCCTATTTACCCCCAACAGACCCCAGTGTGTGATGTTCCCCTCCCTGTGTCCATGTGTTCTCATTGTTCAACACCCAACTATGAGTGAGAACGTGTGGTGTTTGATTTTCTGTTCTTGTGTCAGTTTGCTGAGAATGATGGTTTCCAGGTTCATCCATGTCCCTACAAAGGACACGAACTCATCTTTTTTTATGGCTGCATAGTATTCCATGGTGTATTTGTGCCACATTGTCCCTGTCCAGTCTATCATCGATGGGCATTTGGGTTGGTTCCAGGTCTTTGCTATTGTAAACAGTGCTACAATGAACATTCGTTTGCATGTATTTTTATGATAGAACTAGATCAGTTTTTAAAAAGGACATAGAGCTGATTATTCGTATGTTTTGTTCTTATGCTCCAAAAGATACTAACTACTATTTCTCAAAATGTTTAGACATCTGGATAACAAGTGACAAGTTCAATTTTCCAGATGTCTTGGTCTCCTGGGAGCCAAGCACCCAAGCTGCTGATTTATTTGAGGAGCAGAGAGAAAGATGTATTTTTGTTTCTTCAGTTTTCTGATTTATTTGTATATCTGCCAGAAGTTTTAGAAACCACAATGCGTGACGTGTTAGATAAGATCATAGTGAAGTTTGCTGGAGAGTGGAGTCAGGAAGATGAGGAATGCCCATGATTTAACAAGGAATTATTTTCACAGTTTTGTCATTTGTCTTGAGTTGGAGGAAATGGGCCTGCCCTGTGCCAAGAATATATTCTAAGAAATAACTGTGCTTTTCTACTTCGTGTTTCTACTCCTGTGGTAGCAAAACCACATACAGACATTTCGTTGAAGTGACTGGGCTGCTGTGATGATATAGCCTTAGTTCATTTCAAGTTGCTGTAATGATCTGTGTTCCTCTTTTTAAAGATAATGGGAAATTCATCTGAGTTCCAGAAAGCAGTCAAGTTAGTGATCAACACAGTTTCATTTGACAGAGATTCTACCGTCCAAGTCTTTGAGGCCACGATAAGGTAAAATAATGAATATTCATAAAATGAGTTGAAGAATTCTTTTTGTGTGTTTAAGGAGAAAAATTTCTGTGAGGGTCTCTTAGCCCCAAGATCCAGGCAGGGAGTCCATATGGGCTGTCTGGGCATAGTGTGCATTTTTCATATTCATATCATATTTATCAAAACTGGAAGAATTGTTTCAAAGTAATTACATTCTGGACTGAAGGGAAAGACACATTTATATTTTGTTTTGTTTTTATAGATTAACCTTTTTTTTTTTTTTTTTTGAAATGGAGTCTCTGTCACACAGGCTGGAGGGCAGTGGCACAATCTCGGCCCACTGCAATCTCCACCTCCCAGGTACAAGGGATTCTTATCCCTCAGCCTCCTGAGTAGCTGGAATTACAGGCATGTACCACCACACCTGGCTAATTTTTGTATTTTTAGTAGAGACAGGGTTTCACCATGTTGGCCATCTGGTCTCAAACTCCTGACCGCAAGTGATCTGTCTGCCTCGGCCTCCCAAAGGCCTGGGATTACAGGCATGAGCCACCATACCTGGGCACATTTATGTTTTAATGGGGGTGTAAAATAGGTGTCTGTCTAGAACAGAATTTCATGATTTCTCTTTATAGTCTGATCTCATTTACTTCTTTCATGATGTCCTCGGAAAACCCCTACCTATTTCTGAAGAAAATGAGAGTTCCCCATCTCACCACCCACAGAAAATCACTGCTTACCATTTTAGTATATTATCCTTGTTAAATATATCTCTTCTATTTCTCTCTCTCTCTCGCTCTCTGTTTAGCGCATTGGGATCATACTCTATACCTAGTATGTTGTATATTGATTTCTTTGCTTTAATTTGTTGTGATTATTTTCCTGTTTAAATTTTTTGATAATTGTATTACTGCATAACATTCCAGTTAACAGTTGTAATACTTATTTAAAATTAGAATTATGAAAACCTTTGTTCTAACATATGTCACAGTCTACAGATCATTAGAATGGGACTTTATGGGTCTACCAGGACATAGGTGTAAGCTGTTAGCCTGCTCCCTCTCAGTAGGTCATTCTCTCCTCCTCCTCCTCCTCACCTTGCTTCTTTACTAGATGTTAAGGTATTAGGGAAGTTCAACAGTTGCTTGGCAGCCAAAACTACAAAAATTACTTAGTAATTGTCTTAACTTTCTCTGTTTTTTTTAAAGTTTAAATTATTTTTTTTATTTTTAGAGTAGGGTCTTGCTCTGTTGCCCAGGCTGGAGTGCAGTGGTGTTATTACGGTTCACTGCAGCCTTGAACTCCTGGCTCAAATGATCCTCCCACCTCAGCCTCTGAAGTAGCTGGGACTAGAGGCAAAAGCCACCATGCCCAGCTTCTGTTTTTTATGAGTGTTTTCTCCAAGTGAAATAAATCAAGAGTAATTTAATAATACTAATAGGCAATATTCTGAGAACAATTAGTATACTCCCTCTTTTTTTCCTTTTTTTGAAAGAGACAGGGTCCTGCTCTGTTACCCAGGCTGACGTGTAGTGGCATGATCATAGCAGCCTTCAACTTCTAGGCTCAAGAGATCCTTCCGCCTCAGCCTCCCAAGTATCTGGGACTACTGGTGTGTCCTATCACACCTGGCTAATTTTATTTATTTATTTTGAGATGGAATTTTGCTGTTATTACCCAGGCTTGAGTGCACTGGTGTGATCTCAGCTCACCACAACCTCCGCCTCCCAGGTTCAAGCTATTCTTCTGCCTCAACCTCCCAAGTAGCTGGGATTATAGGCATGCACCACCATGCCTGGCTAATTCTTTGTATTTTTAGTAGAGATGGGGTTTCTCCATGTTGGTCACGTTGGTCTTGAACTCCCGACTTCAGGTGATCCACTCACCTCAGCGTCCTAAAGTGCTGCGATTATAGGTGTGAGCCACCATGCCCAGCCTAATTTTTTTTTTAATTTTTATTTTTAATAGAGACAGGGTGTTGCTTTGTTGCCTAGGCTGGTCTTGAGCTCCTGGCTTTAAGCGATCCATCTCCCTTGGCAAAGTGCTAGGACTATAGGCATGAGCCATTGCACCCAGCCAACTCCCTTTTCTTTCTTTTTTTTATTTTTGAGATGGAGTTTCGCTCTTGTTACCCAGGCTGGAGTGCAGTGGCGCAATCCCGGCTCACCACAACCTCCGCCTCCTGGGTTCAGGCAATTCTTCTGCCTCAGCCTCCTGAGTAGCCGGGATTACAGGCACGCGCCACCATGCCCAGCTAATTTTTTTGTATTTTTAGTAGAGATGGGGTTTCACCTTGTCGACCAGGATGGTCTTGATCTCTTGACCTCGTGATCCACCCGCCTCAGCCTCCCAAAGTGCAACTCCCTTTTCTTAATGCTCTAAGATTTAATTTACCAAAATTGTTAATAAATAGTATTGTTTTTGGTAGCCTCGGATAAATGATTCCCTTTCCCTCTTTTAGTAATATGGTTAACAAAAATCTGTCATGTTTTATTAGAGGTATAAAGGAGTTTAAGAGGCCATTAAGTCAGGTCTCTCTGACGTCAGGTAGTTCTGAGTCTATGTGGATATAAAGGTACTTCTGTCTTTGTGAATTGTATTATGAGCATTTATTAGCAACATGATTGTATTATGTTTTTGTTCTTCCTGTCATCAGGGTTCTGGGAAGCCTCCTTTCTGCTCACAGAATAATAACTGACTCCAAGCAGCCCTTTGGTGATATGACAATTAAGGATTATGATAATGAGTTGTTATACATGGCTCATGACCTGGCCGTGCGGCTCCTCCCTGCTTTTGAAAACACCAAGACAGGAATTCCATTTCCTCGGGTGGGTAGACTGGTTTGACCCTTTGTGTTTGACAGTTTACTCTCTTCCTGAATTAAAATTCTTTGTTTATTAATTTATTTGGGAGAAGGAGTGGGATGGAGATAGATGAGAAAAGCAGTGTCTTTAGGAGAATTTGGCCTTAAATATTATGTAAATATTTTAAAATTAATTCAGCATTTACTGAGCATCCACTGTATAAAAGGCAAACAGTGACATATCTGACTTATTCCTTCCCCTTTAAGGAATTGATGTTCTGTGAGGTTCAGTATTCTTAAATTCATTTACATGTGTGATTTATATTCCCTGCTACAAAGCAGTGTGGGGAGTTTGTCTTCATCTCTGACTTGGGTTTGTTTCCCCAGAGATTCTCACATGGGTATTGCAGAAGCTCAGTGAGTGTTCTTTTGAATGCTTCACATGGATCTTTCAAATAGAGCCTGCACAGACCAGCAAGTTAGCTGCTGATTTAAATGCCAGGATCTGGAATTAGATTTTATCTTTGTGACATCTGATTTGCCAGGCCCAGAACTCCTCTGGGAATTGAGTCAGCCTTTTAGGTAACTGGCTGAGAATTGCCAGAGCACAGAGCCTTCATGATGAAACAGGCTGTCATATTCTGGCAGTGCCTCCTTTCTCTTCCAGTTGGAGGTTTGTTTAGGTGTTGAGCAGGAGTGAGTTCATAGTGGCTCACTTAAAATTTAGAAGCAATTCTATAGTTTGCCTTGGTATCTAACCCTAAAGCCTGGTGTCTGTGTTACCATGAAGAAAACTTGGTGGAAAGAGACGTTTTAGTGAAGTGTTATAGCCTTTCCCTGAAGACTTGCTCCTCTTAATAAAGCAAGGCTCTGCTGTTCTTATTGTCTTGTTTGTGTCTTTTAAATTTAATTCCCACATTCACCTCATCTGTATCTTGGAAGGCAGAGAGCTGACTCACTGGTAAGCTTCGTTTATTAGCCAAGTGTAGTCTTTGAGATCCAGCTTTTCAGCCCTGTGGGTTCCTTGAGTTTTGTCATAGTCTTTATCTCTTCCCATCCCCAGGTAAATCTAAAGACAGGAGTTCCTCCTGACAGCAATAATGAGACGTGCACAGCGGGAGCTGGTTCCCTCCTGGTGGAATTCGGGATTCTGAGCCGACTGCTGGGGGACTCCACATTTGAGTGGGTGGCCAGACGAGCAGTGAAAGCCCTTTGGAACCTCCGGAGCAACGATACAGGATTGCTAGGTGTGGCACCTTTGCTCGCCATTGGGACTGCACACCGCTTGGTCCCCTTTGCTTTTATCTTCTCTGGGCTCTGCCCCTTTTTCAGTCTTTAACTCAATTGACAACGCAGAAAGAATTGTGTCAGCTGAATCTAATTTCTTTATGTGACCCTTTGCAGAGAGCGAAGCTGGATAGTCTGATGGAAAAGAATGAAGCTTTTGTGTTTGAGGCCTCCCTTCTGATTTGGATCCCCTGGCATATTCCACTTGAAAATTATTGTTAATGGAAATGCCATAAAAAGAACTGCCTCTGAGGCAGATTTTATTGCTTCAATATAAGATTCTAAATATAGGAATATAGAGTTACTTTGGAGCAGCTTTTTGCCTATTAAAAATTTAGGCATGTGGTAGTAGATTGAAAGTCCAGATTAAACCTCTATGAGGTGAGGTTTTTCCTCCCTTGAGAATGTTTGGTCAAGGTGTTACTTAAAAATTATTATGGAAAATTTCAGAGTATAGTAGATATAATGAATAGTAACCCCTGTGTACTCATCATTTATCTTTAATAATTAGCAATATTTTGCTAACTTACAGTGTTATTTGTTTATTTATTTTGAGATAGGGTCTCACTGTGTCACCCAGGCTGGAGTTCAGTGGTGCGATCTTGGTTCACTGCAGCCTCCACCTGCTAGGCTCAATGATCCTCCCGCTTCAGCCTTCCAAGTAGTTGAGATGACCGGCCTGTGCCACCATGCTCATGCTTACTTTATGTAGAGACAGGGTCTCACTATGTTGCCTGGACTAGTCTCAAACTCCTGAGCTCAAGCAATAAGTGCTGGAATTACAGGTGTAGGCCACTGTGTGTGGCCTAGGTGTTAAAGTGGGTTTTTACCTGTTTGTTTAAAGTTCTGAAATTTATGTATTTGTTGTATTTAACAACAGCAATGGAAATAAAGCAGTCGCTCAAGTTGTCAGTCTATCACCAAATAGTTGACTGGTGTCACTCCAGATTGTCAACTGTTTAGGTTTCCATAGATCCTTTCAGCCTGGCATGTGCAACTTTGATATATTTTTCATTATAATATAAACAGATATTTTTATTCTGCCTGACATTTGGCAGAGCACTTGTTTCCAAGTTGTTGCCTTGTTTTCATAGTTACCATTCTTTTTGTTGTTTTGTTTCATTATAAAAAAATTATATTTTCTCTTTTTTTTTTGTTTTTTGAAACAGGTTCTCCCTCTGTCACCCAGGCTGGATGGCAGTGGCACAATCTTGGCTCACTGCAACCTCTGCCTCCCAGGCTTAAGTGGTCCCACATGCTCAAGTGAACCCCCTATCTCAGCCTCCTATCTGGGGCTACAGACACTCACCACAATGCCCAGCTAATTTTTTGTATTTTTGGTAGAGACAGAGTTTCACCATGTTGCCCACGCTGGTCTCAAATTCCTGAGCTCAAGCAATCCACCTGCCTCGGCCTCGCAAAGTGCTGGAATTATAAGTGTAAGCCATCATGCCTGGCCACTTTTTCTTTTTAAAATAATTTTTTTTTTGGATAAAGTCCCAGGAATGGCAGTACTGGGTTAAAGTCTGTGAACACTCTTGGGTTTTGAAATGCTTCATCAACCTGGAAAAGCAAAATGACAAACCTATTTTTATTTTGCATTAAATGTTTATCCCCATGTTTGTGTCAGTAAGCACTATATATTTAGAAATATGTTTAGGCTAAGCTACTGATAGGACTGATAAAAATGTTAGGGCCAAGCATCTACTCCTTCTCCTGCATGCCAAGGATAGAGGTGCTGAGGAGCAGTATGGTTGAAGTAGGAAGCCCGTCCCCATCCATGTCCTCCCTGATGAGACAGTTGGGACCTCAATTGCCTTGTTTGTTTTCGCAGGCAACGTTGTGAACATTCAGACGGGCCATTGGGTTGGAAAGCAAAGTGGCCTGGGTGCTGGGCTAGACTCCTTCTATGAATACCTCTTGAAATCGTACATTCTCTTTGGAGAAAAAGAAGACCTAGAAATGTTTAATGCTGCATATCAGAGTATTCAGAACTACTTAAGAAGAGGGTATGTCTCCCTCACGTCTCCCCTGTGGCCTTGTAAAGCAAACAGAATGCATTCTGAAGTGTTTGTATTTTTTTAACATACAATCACAGGGTCTGTTTGTCTCTGCCCTCACCTTACTACCTCTCCTAGTTTGTTAGTCATCTGGGGGCAAAGAGCTGTGTTAGCTTTCTGTCACTGTTTAGCACAGTACTGAACCTCATGGCTTAAAACAACAAGCATCATCTCAGGAAGTTTCTTTGGGACAGTAATCCAGCAGCAGCTGAGCCCATCACTCTGGCCCAGGATCTTTGCTGAGGTTGTTGTCAAGCTGTTGGCCAGGGCCACAGCTATGCCACAGCTTGAATGGGGCTGGGAGATACCCTTCCAGGTGTACTTTTATGGTGACTGGCAGGCTTCAGTTCCTCATTGGCTGTTGGCTGGAGGGCTCAGTTCTTTGCCAAGGGTCCTCTTGATAGGTAGCTCATAGCCACTTGCTTCCCCAAGAGTGAGTGATCTGAGAGAAAAAGAGAGAGAGGCCAAAATGGCAGCCCGAAGTGCTTTCATGACTAATCTGGGAATGATACACCAATACTTTTGCCAGATCTTTAGTCATCCAGACCAACCCTGATACAGTCTGGGAGAGGGCTACGCAAGGATGCGACTTGCAGGAATAGAGGTTATCCGGGGCCGTCTGGAGACTGGCTACTACTATAGGAGCTGACACATCCTAGTGTTTAACTGTGGCTTTAATTGCAGATCTACAATGCAAGATGGTTATTTGTAGGACAATGTTCTGGTTCTATTACTTTCCAAAGAATTGTTAGGATTGGTCTTTTTTTTTTTGTGAGACGGAGTTTCGCTCTTGTTACCCAGGCTGGAGTGCAATGGTGCAATCTCGGCTCACCGCAACCTCCACCTCCTGGGTTCAAGCAATTCTCCTTGCCTCAGCCTCCTGAGTAGCTGGGATTACAGGCGCGTACCACCATGCCCACCTAATTTTTGTATTTTTAGTAGAGACGGGGTTTCACCTTGTGGCTTCTACTCTAGTGTTACTCTCTCTTCCCCAGATCTTTTTTTTTTTTGAGATGGAGTCTTGCTCTGTCACCCAGGCTGGAGTACAGTTGCACGATCTCCACTCACTGCAACTTCCACCTCCCAGGTTCAAGTGATTCTCCTGCCTTAGCCTCCTGAGTAGCTGGGGTTACAGGCACGTGCCACCACACCTGGCTAATTTTTGTATTTTTAGTAGAGATGGGGTTTCACTGTGTTGGTCAGGCTAGTCTCAAACTCCTGACCTCGTTATCTGTCTGCCTTGGCCTCCAAAAGTGTTGGGATTACAGGTGTGAGCCACCACGACTGCCCCCCAGATCTTTCTTTGTATGTATTTCTGTGTTAAGTGGCCAGTTTCAGTACAAGTTATAGTTACCGAGCTTCCTGCTTGGTAGGATTTTCTTGGGCCCTTTTCTACATTGCTGATTTAGGAACCACTTGTGTGTGCTGTGTTTAAGTAAGGGACCTTTTGGGTAGAATTTATTTTTGCTTTTCAAAGCCAGAAACTAAATTGAGCAGTAATCCCCAGGGGTCTTGCTCTGATGCATTTCTCCAGGCCCATGCTGTAGGACATTACTAAAGAAGAGACTCTGTACCAGAAGAACCAAGCTCTTCTGCTCAGGTGAAATCCAGCATAGGCCCATACTATATACTGAATTCTCTTATGTGGAGGGTTCTTAAACCCAAAGCTCAAAGTGCTTTCTGCAGAATACTGTGAAATCCTGACATATTACAATGCCTGCATTAGGAACTTTGATCCTGTGGTAAATATCTTCTGCTAGAGTCTAGTGTTGATAAAGGCAGTCTGTCTCCAAAGGTTTAAGGAATGAGGAGAAAAAGTTAATGTTGATTTCATCCAAACGAAACTACCAGCAGCTGCTAGAGAGCTAGAGATCTGTCAGTGAGCTTTCTTTTCACCATTGAATGTGCTACTTGGGTTTGCAGGCGGGAAGCCTGCAATGAAGGAGAAGGAGACCCCCCACTTTATGTCAATGTGAACATGTTCAGTGGGCAGCTGATGAACACCTGGATTGACTCTCTGCAGGCCTTTTTCCCTGGACTGCAGGTACTTTGCAATCAGATTTCCTAAGAATAACCAATCACTAGAAAGAGTTTTTCCCTCCCCTTCTTTCTTTTTTAATACCCAGAGCATTCTCTGTCTCCTTTGGATTTGGGAAGTCACTGACACTATCTATTTTCATCTTTCTGTTTGTGAAATTAGTCTCCAGAATATTGAACAGAGCCATTCCACACTAGTGCAAAACCATGCTTGAGAAGTGACTGTGTGATTTTTGTTTTTGTTTTTGTTTGTTTTGAGACAGCCTCACTCTGTTGTCCAAACTGGAGTGCAGTGGCGTGATCTCGGCTCACTGCAACCTCTGCCTCCTGAGTTCAAGCAATTCTCCTGCCCCAGCCTCTAGAGTAGCTGGGATTACAGGCGCCCGCCAGCACGCCTGGCTAATTTTTTGTACCTTTGGTAGAGATGGGATTTCACCATGTTGTCCAGGCTGGTCTCAAACTCCTGGCTTTAGGTGATCTGCCTGCCTCAGCCTCCTGAAGTGCTGGGTTTACAGCCATGAGACACTGCTCCTGGCCGTGTGTGATTTTTGGATAATCCACTGCTCAGTTGTTTATTCCTTGTTCATTAGTACATGTAACTTCTTTTTCTGTGCAGTTTACATCAATTTGGCATTACTGGCCAGATAGGGAGTGTATTTTACTTGTCTGGGTTGTAGCTTTTGGGTTGGCTTTGTCTTCAACCATATGTATAGGTTAAGTAAGAACTTGGGGGTAGAGGAGAGCCCAGGCAGGCCCTTTGTGCCTTGTCTTGTCACTCTAGGAACTGTATCTCAGCCTGATGACCTGAGTCCTCTCCTTAGGTGCTCATAGGAGATGTGGAAGATGCCATCTGCCTTCATGCCTTCTACTATGCCATATGGAAACGATATGGTGCCCTCCCTGAGAGGTATAACTGGCAGCTGCAGGCCCCCGATGTTCTCTTCTACCCACTGAGACCAGAGTTAGTGGAATCCACATATCTCCTCTACCAGGTACTAGAGTTGTTGTTTTTTCTTTCACTGCCTCCTCTGACCCCAGCAGTTGGTTCTTAATGAACATTTGCTAAGTGATTTAGAGTTATGTTGTTTTAGAGTGACTCCAATCGAGTTACCCCCATCTGTATTCTTGTTAGTGTTCAGTGTCATTCATGACTTCACAGGACAGAGAAGGTATTGTTTTTAACCTCATATTCTACAAAGCTGAAACATGTTTTATGGCTCATATCTTTAAATATTCATGAGGAAGGTTTTTTTTTTTTTTTTGAGACAGAGTCTCACTCTGTCGCCAGGCACCAGGCTGGAGTGCAGTGGCACAATCTTGGCTCACTGCAACCTCCACCTCCAGGGTCTGCTGCCCAAGTAGCTGGGACTACAGGCGCATGCCACTACGCCTAGCTAATTTTTGTATTTTTAGTAGAGACAGGGTTTCACCATGTTGGCCAGGATGGTCTCGATCTCTTGACCTCGTGATCCGCTCACCTTGGCCTCCCAAAGTGCTGGGATTACAGGCTTGAGCCACCGCGCCCGGCCGAGGAAGATTTTGTACTAAGATGTTTTCCAAATTTATTTGACCAAAACACCCGTTTTTGGATGCAATTCTGCACCAGTGTACTGTGGAAACCCAGTGTGTGTAACAAGTACTCAGACAAAAAGAAAATTCATTTTCTTGGTTGTAAGGAAATCATCTGGGATTCATCTGGATGCCTGGTTTTGTTTAATATTAAAATATATATATATATTTATGTAGTGTTCATCCTCTGTGAAATTACTTCAGTGGCAGAGGGAATGTGACTTTAGCTGTTAAATGTCTTCTTCCTGACAGTTGAAGCCAGATATTTATACTTCTGTGCATGCCATACTTATATACACACGGAGAGTCCTCCTCCATTCACATGCACAACAGCATAAGTGGTTAACTTACCAAGAAGCTGGCCTTGGTGAAATTTGGTAGGCCTGTAACAGATGACCACCATGGGCCAGCCGTAGCAAGCAGAGCCTGAGTTTTAGAAACTCTGGTGATGGAGCTAACACTAAGATTTGGATTTATTTATTGAATGATGTTTTATACCAAATCCTTGCCATTTGCTTCGGATAAAAAACGGGGAAAGAAATCCTGTGAAACTGGTAATAGTCCTCATGCCTAAAGAGGGACCTTTAGTAAAACCATGAATTTTAGGTAACTTCTCAAAAAAAGGGAAAATATGACAGCCGCCTGTTTGGCCTCTCTGAGCCCAGTAGAGCAAGGCTGTACATAGAGGATGGCTTGCCAGCTATTGGCTGATTTCTCCTCTTAAGTTTAGTCCTGTGGCCTGTGAGCTGACTCCTCTTTGTTTCTGTCACTAATTCTTTCCTGATTTCAGCTTCTGCTTCACATTGACAGAGATGTCTTGTACTCCACAGCTTTACCCTCCGAAGCCACACCCTGTGCACTTTTAATCCAGAGACCGCTAACCTTGTTTGTTTTCTTTGTTGATGCAAGCTGGCGCTAGGCATGAGTTAAAGATCCCCAACTTTTGAACTGTTTGTTGGATAAAGGCTCCTCTTCCCAGAGAGGTTTTTTTCCCTAGTAAAACCATCTAAGAGTATATGAGAAGAGTAGGCAACTGAGGACTGATTTTTAGGGTGACTAGAGAGGAAAGGGTGGTGATCTCCTTTTACACTTTGGAAAGTCTTGTTCTCATCAGCCTTTCCTCATGGTGCCATAACTGGAATGGTGGCAAGGCCCTGTTTCCTGTGCCTGTGTCTTAAGCTTTTGGAGAGTTCTGAGGCAAGATAGAAATTGGATTTGTTCTCAGATATGGCATTGTCAGGTTGGGTATTGTTTTATTTCTAATCATGATGAGAACCAAAGTAGAGTATTGTTCTTCTACCCTGGAGCAGGTGGTCTTACCCTGGCTAAAGTTAAACAAGTCACAGGTATACTTTGATGTGAACTGACAGAATACCTTAGTCCTCTAACTGTTGTGACCTGCAAGATCAGATGACCTGGGCCCTGTTTCTTCCTTTGGCTGGCGACTCATCTCGTCTGTGGGGAAGCCCCGCAGTCACCGTGAAGCTTGTTAATGGCATGTCTTCCAAGCCCATGCTGGATCACATTCTCTCGTGTTCTCTCTAGGCAACCAAGAATCCCTTCTACCTCCATGTAGGAATGGATATTCTGCAGAGTCTGGAAAAGTACACAAAAGTCAAGTCAGTTTTCTAAGTTCCTTCCTTTTTCTGTCAGCCACTTTTGATTTATTTCACATTGTTTTGGGGAAATATCCTAGTTTGCATTTTTAATTTACAAACAGATCATTAATGTTACATTTGTAGGGAAATTGCTTACCTTTTGGTGTAGTAGGACCTTTCCATTATAGTGGGAACTGCCCTTTTTTTTCTGTGATGTTCTTGCAAATTATGGGTATTCATTCTAACTTCTTTCCCCTAGTTATACAATAACACATACACTAACATGTTTAGGGAGTACAGAAAATATAAAGTGGTAGAATATTATTACTCTAATCTCCACATACAGAGAAAACTGTAGTCAGTATTGAAGTGTATATACTTATAATCTTTTAAATATATTTTTATATACGATGTGTGTGTGTGTATATATATATATATATATATATATATTTAAGAAACATACTCTATATTTCAATTTTGTGACATGCTTTTTTTTACCCACTATATAATAATTAAAAAAAAACCTATCTTAGGATACTCAAATAGTAAGTTATTTCTACAAATATTAGGACTAGAAATTTGAATTAGTCCTTTTAAATTTGTTGCCAATCACTTTCTTGGTGCCTTGTTATGCTTCTGGCCAACACCCTTCACTGTTCCCTGCCACCACTCCCACAGTCTGTAATTCACCTGATAATTTAGCAGCCAAAGAACTTGCTAAGTAAATTTGCAAAAAACCCAGGTTATAAAAAAGGAGAGCTCTTCAATGTAAACATAGTTTCATATGGCGCTTGATGACTGGTTGATTATTCTGATAAGAGAATGTTTCTGCTTCTGAAGTGAATCAGCAGGTAGGAAGGAGAGGCAGAACTGACTGGACAATTGTTTTGTAGGTGCGGGTATGCCACGCTGCATCACGTCATCGACAAGTCCACAGAGGACCGGATGGAGAGCTTCTTTCTCAGTGAAACCTGTAAATACTTGTATCTGGTATGTGTGTTGCAGGATGAACCCAGGAATATTTAGTACTGCTTAGAGTGAGCATTCGCATAGTCTTCTATCTGACAGATACTGGCCACAGCTATATGCTGAACATTGTGTATTCCCAGGGATGTAAATGCTGTCAAAACAAAAGGATATTACTGTCTTCTTTCTTGGTTTCCAACCTTGTTGAAAAGCCATTTGTCAGGTAAACCAAGATTTGAAATTATGAGTACAAACTGTGGGAAATGCTGGTAGTGAATGATACAGAACCAGTGTTAGTGCGGTGGTTGGAGAAGATGTCTCTGAGGAAGAGAGCTGTGTTCATAATGCCTTCTCACTTCTCTTGATGTTTGTGATCTTGGCCAAGACCCGCAACCCAGCCTTGTCTCTGTCCATACACACATCCTCAGGCACATGGTATGTGTGTGTGTGCTGAAAAAAACCTTTGTTATTACCTAATATTCATATGTTCATTCTTTCCCTCACAAGACTACAGCCTACACAGAAGTCAGGTGACTTGCCTGAAGTATGGGGGTGGCTGTGGCAGAGCCGAAGTGTGAACTGTGGTCCTGACTCCCTGTGTGGTGCTCTTTCCACCTCACCACTCGGCCTCACCACTCTCGTGCCCCCTGCCACTTTCCACAGTATGGCTACATATAAACAGAGGGCAGGATTTCCTGGTTATAAGGTATTGTGGTAACTGAGAACTTCAGCAGAGGGTCAGAGATAGAAGCAGCTGTGATAAATTGCATTTATCTAGTTCCGTGTTTCACAGGCCTGGGGCTATCTGGGTCTGAATCGCCCTAGGGCCTTTGCTGAGGTTACAGCTGTGTTGAGTCAGAATCTTTAGAACCAGCAGCCTCAGAAATCTGTCCTTTTGACAAGTGCTTCCAGTGGTTTCCCGTGAGCCAGGTTTTGGAGCTGCTGGTCTAATCCATTAAGACGATACTCTTCTGTGTCTGGTGTCTTTTCACAGATGACTACAGAGGTGTGTCCACCAGCAGCCCATGTGGTTTGTCCAGTGGGAAGACAGCTGTCCTGCTGTTGGTTCCTGCATGTGCAGTGGTTCTTACTGTCAGTGCAGGTCACTCAGTTCTGCTGAATCAGGCTGGCCAGAGCCTAGTTGTGTATTTCCATCCAGCAGCCAGTAGTGTCAGAAGGACGTTAACGAGGCAAGTTTTAGAGTAAAGGAAGGTGACCCTGTAGGGTGTGTTACGTGCAAGAACATAGAGTCTAGGGAAATGCTGGGGTATGCCCCATTCTTCTCCTGTTACTGTGCAAACATTGACAAACTGCACTGAATCTCATTTTTCCTTGTCTTGAAATAGTTTAGGTGACCAATAAAGTAGCTAAGAATTTCTAGGTGTTCATTCATTCAGCATTCACAGAACACTTGCCTTCTCCTGCACTGACGCTTCCCATATTGGGTTAGATGTTCTTTCTAGATGCTCTTGCGTTCCATGTCACATGCACTGTTGAGGGAAAGGACTGTGCCTTGTGGCCACTGCATCTTCAGAGCCCAGCCCATGTTATGCAAGAAATGAACTGAATGTTGGCAGATGTGTTGGGCTCTGTGCTAGGATATGGTGATAGATAAAACTTGCTTCCTCCCTGCCAGCATTTACAGGGTCTAGATGTGTGTGATATTGGGGGTAGTTCTAGAATTCCAGCAGGAGAACTCTTAAGTAGCACATGGGAATCATCCAGTGAACTCTTACAGACTACTTGTGCTTGGGTCTTACTTAGCCTTGGAATTTCTGAGTTTCTGCATCTGGGCAGGATATGTGTAGGGAAGAGGTGGGTCTAGTTATGAGTTTAGATGAAGCAGATGATTCTGCCTTGCAGCCTGGGCTGGGCACCACAGTTGTCAGTCAATTCCTTTTCACCCAGTTATCACTGAGAAGCATGAAGTCCAAGTAGATTCTGTTCCCTGAGTAGCTGGGACACTGCCCCATGATTCAGTTCCAAGTGTGCTACAGTAATTGGTTGTATCTTTTTCTCCCTTCCGCCTAGCTGTTTGATGAAGACAATCCAGTACACAAATCTGGAACCAGATACATGTTCACAACAGAGGGACACATTATATCTGTGGACGAGCATCTTCGAGAATTGCCATGGAAGGAATTCTTCTCTGAAGAAGGAGGGCAGGACCAAGAGGGAAGGTCTGTGCACAGGCTGAAACCTCACGAGTTAAAAGTCATCAACTCCAGCTCCAACGTGAGTTGCTTCTTCGAGGGGTGAATTGCATATAGAGGAAGAGAATATACTATTAATTCCTTAGTTGTTCAGACTTCCTGACAGAAAATTGATGGTGTGTACGCAGATTGGGAGGTTTGAAAACACCTCCTAAAGAGACCATTTACATAGATGTTGTCAGCGTGTAGAGAAATCACAGGAGCAGCGGTGGCATCATCACTGCTGGCTACAGGTGCCAGTGGAGAGAATGGCCGAATGGCTGCAGGGTCCCGGAAGTGGGAAGTCTTGTGGGAGAAGTGGCCACCCAGCAGGAGCCACTGCTCAGATCTGACTTTCGTGGCCTTGCCTGGAGGGAGCTGACAGAGTCAACATGTGATTCCTCCCTGCTCCCCTGATTGCCTTCTGGAGCATCTTCTTGGCTGCCTGAGGCAGAAGTTTAAGGCCAATGGAACCTGTTGATATGATCCATCAGTGGACCTGGAGGGGCAAATGGAAGACATTCAGCAAAACCACCTACCAGCAGGAGAATAGAAAAAAAGCAGTCATAGTCAGTTCGGTCCTAATGAAGATGCTTTTTGAAGTGCAGCAAACACCCAGATTCATTTAAAATAGGGCTTTACTCCATACCTAAATTGTCCTGAGAAGCAGCAGAAAAGATTTGGAAATGGAAGTCCTTGCATTCCTAGTGAAAGTATCAGGTAGTGTTGATTTGAATCAAATAGGATGGTTTGGAAGTGAGGATAGGGAAATGTGGATCAGTTGAAATTTCAAATCTAGGTATCCCTCAGGGCCTCAGTGGTCTGGTGTTCAGCCACCTCCCCACAGATGGGTTGCCTTGGCGTTAGGGGCACCCTCTTTTCATAGACTGTGCCTCAGTGCTTTTCCATTAATGCCCCCGTGAAGGTCTTCACCATCAGTCTGTGAAGTAAATCGATAGGCCAGAGTGTAGATAACCACCCCTGCCCCCATTTTCATCAGGCCATGGAGTGCTGATCGAGTTGGCAAAGCATAATCAGGAGGAAGGGGAAGGAGAGTGAGAGGGAGAAGAGTTCATGACAGCCAGCGTTTACAGAACACATATCAGGGTTAACTTGTGCACCACTCTATACGCTTACGTAGGTTGACCTGTTTACTTCTCACAACAGCCCCGTGAGGGGTGGGTACTTTTAACATCTCCATTTTATAGATGAATAAAGGGAGGCACAGAGAAGTTTGAGTCTCATGGTGGAGCCAGGATTTGGACCCAGGCAGTGTCTTCTCTTTTAGGAAGGAGACATTTCTGACCTGCCACATTCACTAACAGATCTGATCCCATGATTTCAGGCACCAGGGATTCAGGCCGTCAGAAGGGCTCCCAGTTCTGGATAGGCGCATGGCCTAGTGAGGAGTCCACTTCCATCTTAGGCATTGTCTGTAGTGCTGTTGAAACACAGAGGGGAGGGAGTAATCTCCAGAGAAAATCAAAGTGGGATTCCAAGGAAGTCACTTGCTGGAGATCCTTGAAGGATGAGGGGATATCCCCAGAAAGGATGTTCAGGCAGAAGCAGTAGCACCTGCAAAAACAGAGGTGGCCTAGGGGGCAGTCAGGACCAATGGAAGGGCCTGCCAGTCTTGATCTTACCAGGGATGAGGAGCCAGGGTATAGTGAGTTCAGGTACAGGGCATGAGGAAAACGCTTCTCTCAAGATGAAGTGGATAATGAATGTATTTAGACAACTGCTTCCAGGGATATCACAGTTGGTTAGTTCTCAAGACGGGTATCTCCTCTGAGGACACAAAGCAGTGGGTGGGGGGCCTGAATTAAAAAAAAATAGTAGTCTTAAGCATTTAGAGTTTAGTTGTGAATGAGAAAAACATAGCTCAGAAAAACAGTATTTTCAAATAGCAGAAAAGTTTTCTGAAATTCTGGGTGGACTTAGGACTCCAGGAATGTGGCTTTCAATCCTGGCCACTAAGCAGTTGCTGTGATGCCTTTCAGCCTGCCTGGATCTGCCATTTCTTAATCTAGAAAGTGAGGATATTAGATTATGTAAGTGGTCCTCACCTGAGGGTGATTTTGCTCCTCAAGGGACCTTGGAAGTGTCTCCAAAGACTGTCCTACAGTGTGCAGGCAGCTCCCACAACAGTTATCTGCTTTTAAAGTTCAGTAGTTCCCAGGCTGAGAAACCCTGGATTAAGTCATCCAGTCACATTTTCTAAAAGATCAACTTGTGAGTTTTTAATTCAGAATTTAATTTTCCCTTGTTTATGTCTTTCTAGTGCAATCGTGTACCTGATGAGAGGAGGTACTCCCTACCTTTAAAGAGCATCTACATGCGACAGATTGACCAGATGGTTGGCTTGATTTGATCTGCTCTCTGTGAGGCCTCATCTTGAACCAGACCTTAACAACCGAACCCAGACCATGCCAAAGTCCAGTCTGAAATGGAAGGGGATAGAAGTCTCACTGTCCATGATGGTGTAGGAATTTCTGTGCAGCGCCTCACCACATCTGGTTAATTCGTGCACACTTCACTGTTTCTCTCCTGTAAAATAAAATGCCCTGTTAAGGATATAATTTGAAGTGAGAAGGTACATGGAAATTGGCCTCTTATGACATGCTGCTGTTATAAGCACAATAGATGGGGCATCTTTGGATTGATGTTCACAGCTTTATACTTTAGAACCTAAGTCTCTTCACTTTGCTAGTATCTGCTATACTGGAGTATTGCTACTTTAAAAACATTTTTATTACTTATATTTATTTTTTTTGAGACAGGGTCTTGATACTTTTTTGAGACAGGGTTACCTGGGTTCAAGTGATCCTTCTTGCCTCAGCCTCTCATGTAGCTGGGATTACAGGTGTGCACCACTGTACCTGGCTAGCTACTTCTTTGTTAGAGGATTGGAAGTAAAATTTCTGCAAAAGGGCCTGTGGTTAACTTGGTGTCCCTACTTAATTGCATTGAAAATGTCATCCTTTCTGTTACTGGATAACTAGGCTCTGCCCCTGATATCCAAGCATGATTTTGGATCACATGGGGGAAAAAAGTCATCTACTTTTTCATGTATGCCCCAAGTAAGCTTCACAGTGTTACAAATTATTTGCTTAGGAATAATGGCCTTAACCAGAATTCTTAACAGATAGTCACTTAAGTTATTATGTCATGGTCTAAGAGGTTAACTGATAGATCTTTTGGATGGTATTTTGCATTTTGAATATGAACTTACCTGAGGAACTCCCATAGTTCCAGAACCAGGTGCCTTTTAGGGAGAGAACAATACCTAAGATCGTCAAGCTTCCATCTTTCTTATATTTCCTAAGCAAGGATTCTCAGTTCTGACCGTGTTTGGGTTAGAGTTCTGTTTTGTTTTTGTTTACTATGTCTAGTGCCAATTAGCTAAATCAGGGAGAAAGAAATGATCACACAACTTTTTAGTATCCTTGAGCCATTTCTCTGTGTAACACAGGCTATAGATTAGTGCCTTATAGGGTTTTGGTTTTGGCCACTGAATATCACAGCTACTGCTGTGTTTTCAAGAGGCCTGTTTAGCCACATGGTGGGACCATGATGAAAGGGGGATGGAAATTGGCCAGTCTTTGCCTTCAACCTGTGTAAGTAAGCATGTAAAAGGAGGAAGTTGTGCTAAAATGCCTTCTTTCTTTTTTTGTTATTTTCTTAGCCAGAACATCTCTATTGGAACCCACACTGATATGTACCTGCTACTCCTACACAGTGGAGCAGGGTTGACCTCTAGTCTAGCTTCCATGAAGCCTCATGGGTGGAAATGCATTCTGGTAGAAAGAATAGGAAATCCCTAAAACTTCCAGCCTCGCATGCCACAGTTCTCACCTGCCACTGTTTGCCCACCTCTAAGGATTTCATGTACATCTTTTCAAAGCTAAAAATAAACACTGTCTAAGCTTATGTTGCATTTTTATTCAAAAGGGAGAAATCCTATTCCTTTTTGAAAATTTTAAGTGTTAATGGTTTTAAAAATAGATAATGTAGTTCAGTTCTTTGAGATTTTTGAAAAGAGGATTTTCAGTAATGTATCATCTCTGTCTTTTAAACATTTATTACATAGTTGTTTTAAAATAGAAAAAATAAAATGCTTCTATTTTACCTTTTTCATTTCAGAAGCACTATTCTGTTTATTAACAGTGTCCCATCTACTGCATAGAAAACTTTGAGAATAGTATATATATTTTAAATGTTTTCATTGACTCACTAAAAATGTTAAATGCATATACACGCATACACATGAGCATACTTGTACCTTTGTCTCTGGGCAAACAGAGGTGGGACTGTTAGTGGCCCATTTGGGAAAATAGAGCACCTCAGAGAAGGAGGTGAGTTCTTCATGCCTGTGATTTCTCTTTTGGCGCTCCCCTCCTCCTGCTGTGGCTTCCATGGTGGCAGTGGTGGGTAAGCACTCCAGTATTCTCTTATTGAGGTGCTTTGCCTGTCACTTGAGCAAGCTCGGGCATTCCTTCCTCCTCATGCTCCTGGAATAGGGAACAGGGATCTCGTGCTTGCAGTGCACAGAGTGCCACAGGTGCCTCTCAGGGGCCACAGGCTGCCAGGAAACATGTTTTATGTTAAGTCACAAACCCTCTTGAGTTCTGGGTACTGGAATTCATACCAATGGGTGAGACTGAGGGTGAATGAGTTAGTGCATATTAATCTTGGTTGTTGAGCTTCCAGACCTACCCAGTCCAAAGTTTGATGCTATGTAGTCAGTGGTTTGTGGGGCTGGATGCCAGAAGTCTGTCTAGTGCCCATTGTAAAAAGAAGGTTTGTGGAGCCAGCTTCAAAGGTTACTTGTTTTCTTTTTGAAAATCAGAATATCAACAACTGTGATATATCCTGCAGGGCTTTTGCAGTTTCTTCTTTTCTGCTTTCTGAATTACTGGGTAGAGAGTGGCTGAGGAGGAGATTGCCAGAGAAGTTGCCTTGCTCAGTGCTTTGCCCCAGGAATGCCTTGAATCTGAGTGGACTTCATCCTTTGCAGCAGCTTTGAGCCTGGCTCGTTTTCCTATTCCCATGTGTAGCTACTGTCTAGTGTCAGCTTTGCTCAATGTGACGGAAGCATTTTGCAGAACTGTTGTAGAAAGCTGCCTTATAGTTGGCTTGATGAAGCATAATTCTTTCACAACAAGCTTACAAATCATTACAGGGCAGGCTTAGCTACTTGAGTTGATGTGGCTGAGAAATCCCTTCTGGAAGAATAAATGGCAAGGAAGGGTTTTCTGGCACTCCAGGTGCACTGGCCATTGTGAAAAACAGCTTCTGTTTTCAAATCTTCCCTTATTTTTGTTATTTTTATTTTTTTTCCAGCGCTTGGACCAGAACTTATTCATTGTAACTGAATCCCCAGGTTCTGATGATGTCCTGGGCATTTCTTGTCTTAGATCATGGAGTGTGCATGTGACACTTAAATAATTTTCTGTGTATTTAAAGAAAACTGCACCAGGATAGTGTCTGTGCACATGACTGTTGGAGGAAAGTATAGGAAGTACATGGTTTGGTAAGTGCCGTTGTGCAATCTGAGGGCCTTACTTCTTCCTCCCCTTCTCCCTTCTTTCCACCAAAAGAAAATATTCCTCTTAATGATTTCTTAGTTCAGTTTACTGAATCATTGCCACCTGTAATTTCTCTTTGGATTGTGTAGACTCAACATGAGACATTCCTTTCTGCTTTCTGGAGGGCTCCAGAGGCCTCTCTTTGATAATTTTTTTTCGTCTGTTGACAAAAGCAACAATCTTTTTTCAAATTTAGCGCTGGTGAAAGTGATTACCTTAGCCACAGGGTGACTGAGCAGGGACTTTAGAAGAAAATCCTGAGCTTTCCTGTCCATTCCCAGACATCCAGCTCCTATTCTAGTGCCTCTTCCCTGCAGGGCAGGGACCCCTTGGGAAAATGAGGAGGTGGGGTGGGCTGCGCCATGTGTCCCAGGTTTCGCAGGGCTCAGGGTTATGCTCCCGCTTGAATCTGGTAAAAATGTCGAGAACCTGTGGAACTCCCTGATTCTATACCCTCTTCCTTCTTTCTGCGAGGCAGAGGAATAATATTTTTAAAGCTTATTTTGTTTTAGTTTTAAATAGCAAAACACAAGCTGCATAAGAAAGGCAAACCTTTTTACAAGTGTAGAATTGGAAACTCTGGAAAAACTTACTGAAATACACAAATGCTTCTCTCTCTCATGTGCAATATGCTTTGTAACTGTAGATTATATTTTATGTTTAATCTGTAAATAAGAAATGTATTTAAATTAAAAGGGAGCTTTTTGTAAAAGGACCAAATGTTCTTTTATAAATGTAATAAGGAATACCTTGCTCTTTAAAATTTATTAGGATTTTTATGAGTAATTTTTATTAAAATATTCTTTTTTTGAGTTGTCACTTTGTTTCTCTTTTATGCACTCATGTCGACACATTACATTCAAGACAAGGGAGAAGAACTTCTAAAGGAACTGCCCATCTAGATGAATAAAACCTGTTTGCTTTTTATAGCTAAGCCCTGAGTAATGCCTCCCCCATGGAATTCCACTACATTTTTGTGTCACACTCTTGTAATAAATGCATTTCACTTGTGGGTCAGAACTGCTTTTCATGACTTTGTCCCAGCCTTGGCCTTCCACTCTGCACTAGCCTCCTTTCTCTTGGCCACTGTCATTCTCTATTCTTATTGTCAATTAGCTGAGTATATCTGGGGTCTGAAACCAGTTCTCTGTGTTATCATGAGCAAGGCACTTCATTTCTCCTCACCGCTGAGAGCAGTGGCACTTCACAGTCTATGTGGGTGCAGTGGCCCATGGGAAGCGTGTGGGTGGAACGTTCTGGAGGGTTAGCCTCCTTCCCTGTGTTGCCACTGGGGTCCATGATGGGATATTGAGGAAGAGAGCTGCTCCTGCTCTGTGACATCTCAGTGTCCTAGCTTTGGTCACAGACAATTCTGATGGGCCTTTTTTTTTGAGACAGGAGTCTCTCTCACCCAGGCTGGAGTGCAGTGGCACGATCTCTGCTCACTGTAACCTCTGCCTCCCAAGTTTAAGTGATTCTCCCGCCCCAGCCTCCTGGAATAGCTGGGACTACAAGTGCACACCACCACACCTGGCTAATTTTTGTATTTTTGGTAGAGACAGGGTTTTACCATGTTGGCCAGGCTGGTCTCAAACTCCTGACCTCAGGTGATCTGCCCGCCTTGGCCTCCCAAAGTGCTGGGGTTACAGGCATGAGCCACCATGCTTGATGGACCTTTTTAAAGGCCACAAAGCATGACAGGGCAAAGGAGAGACTCGAGGCTGGAAACAACTTGCTCACATTGAGCTCTACTATTGTGAGGGGTGATGGAGTTGTGTTTGTGAAGTCTCGTGGGTTTGTGATCTTGGCCAAAACGAAGCAAGCCTAGTAGGCCAAGAGACCAGGTCAAGAGCCGCAGGTACCGACTCATCCCTGCCTTCCTGTTCCAGGCTGCCTCAGTAGTGGGAGCACCAGGCCTCTGCCATCTGTGGAGCAAGTGGAGCCCAGCAGTCCTGTGTGAATACTGCAGTCAGTGTCGGGTGGAGTATGGGGACTCTGGGCCATACCATGGTGGGTACAATCTCAAATCTATCCCTAACTAAGCTGTGTGCCTTGGGCAAGTTACAGAATTGTTGTCCTCAGTTTTCCTGTCTAGTAAATGGGTTGATAATAATAGTTCATACTCATAGGGTAGTTCTGAGGACTGTGTGGATTAATATGGATAAGGTACTTAATGAGGTATCTAGCATGGTAGGCTCTGCGTGTTTCCTATAATTATGGTCCAGTTGGATTTGACATCCAGGATCAGACCTAAGGCTTAAATAGGGATGGTGGAGGAAGAGTAAGAACATGGACTGATGATGGGGAGCCTGGGCTGTCCTCCTGGCTTTGTCCTGGATGTGTGGCTTAGGTCAAAGCACTCGCCTTCACACAGTTTCCTCACTTTTAAAATCAGAGATGATAGCACATCAACTCCTGGGGTCCCTGTGATGGCAAAATGAATCAGCAGCTAAACTTGTGAGCGTGTGAGGTGGCAGCTGCTAAAATGTTTACTTGTTGTGCCTCTTTGTCCCTTAAAGTTTTGTTTTCCTTCTTAAAATGTAATCAAGGAAGTCAGCTAATGTCTCCGTAACTCAGAAACCCAGACCAGGAGGTGCAGCGTGGTTTGGGTCTGGGTGGTTACCTCTGCTCCAGTACTCCACTCAGTCTTTGCGCTTCAGTGTCTGGGGCAGTCTGCTAGTTGGTAGCCTGCAGAATGAAGAGTGTCTCCCCACCGTGTGTGTGTGTATGTGTGAATGCTCTCCCCCCCACTCTGGCTGTGTGTGTGTGTGTGTGAACACTGCACCACTCTGGCTGTGTGTGTGTGTGAACGCTCTCCCCCAACTCTGGCTGTGTGTGTGTGTGAACACTCTCCCACCACTCTGGCTGTGTGTGTGTGTGTGTGTGTGTGTGAACGCTCTACCCCCACTCTGTGTATATGTGTGTGAACACTCTCCCCCCACTCTGGCTGTGTGTGTGTGTGTGAACGCTTTCCCCCACTCTGGTTGTGTGTGTGTGTGAACGCTCTCCCCCCACTCTGGCTGTGTGTGTGTGTGCGTGCGTGTATGTGAACACTCTCCCCCACTCTGGTTGTGTGTGTGTGTGAACGCTCTCCCCCCACTTTGGCTGTATGTGTGTGAACGCTCTCCCCCCACTCTGGCTGTGTGTGTGTGTGTGTGTGCGTGTGTATGTGAATGCTCTCCCCCCACTCTGGCTGTGTGTGTGTGAACGCTCTCCCCACACTCTGGCTGTGTGTGTGTGTGTTTGTGCCCTCACGTGCATGTGTGTATGGTTTAAAAGCCTGTTACATTCAAACCTCACCAGGTCCTGAGCAGTAAATTCTATTATTCCATTTCTCCAGCTGAGGACACTGTAAAGTAAACAATCTTGCTTCTGGTCACAGCTGAACCAACTGGAGGCAACAGCCTCAGGCTCTCTTTTAGCTGCTGTCAATCTTAAGTAACAAAATTCAGAAAATATGATTAAGTGTATTAGATATACGATTAAGACTTTATCAGAGCCCAAAGCTGGGAATAACTATCCAGGGAACACAGACTCCGGACAAATGGGGTCAGTGCTCCCAAGTTAGAAGTTAAGAGTCATGCTTACATAGGCAGAAGACAAACATATTTAGTAGGATTAAAACATACTCTGGTATAAGGATGGTTTATGAGTTACAACAGTTGAATTTACACAGTTTCTTTTCTGTACAGCTTGTTTTTATTTTCCTTTCTAATTTAAGAGTGCATTTAACATTCCTTCTCAAGACAGAGTGATAGTCCTGAAGTCTGTGTGAGAAAGGTAAGAGGGAAGTTAATCTATACTGAAGATCAACAGTGAAGAGGGAAGGAGTCTTCCCTGGTGCCCTTTACAACATTTTACAAAACAATGTAGGAAAGGAAGGAGAGTCATCTATAGTCAGCAAAATAAAGATTATAGCTGCCTGAACTCAGGTCCCACAAACATATTTCCTTAAGGCTCAAAATATTTTAATGTTCCAACAGCTTAAATTTTGAATTACTTCTTTTCTTTTCTTTTCTTTTTTTTTTTGAGACGGAGTGTCGCTCTTGTTACCCAGGCTGGAGTGCAATGGCGCGATCTCGGCTCACCGCAACCTCCGCCTCCTGGGTTCAGGCAATTCTCCTGTCTCAGCCTCCTGAGTAGCTGGGATTACAGGCATGCGCCACCATGCCCAGCTAATTTTTTTGTATTTTTAGTAGAGACGGGGTTTCACCATGTTGACCAAGATGGTCTTGATCTCCTGACCTCGTGATCCACCCGCCTCGGCCTCCCAAAGTGCTGGGATTACAGGCGTGAGCCACTGCACCCGGCTGAATTACTTATTTTCATGGTGTCATTGTGGATGGTTTGGTTCTAGCCTCCGTGTGAAGAGAAAGGATATCCCTGTCTCTCCCCAGACAGAGTAGCTCAACCTTTGTTCGGAGACCCGAGTGGCCCCTCCCCAGTGCTGGAGGGACGAGGCTGGGACTGGGTTGCCCACCTGCTTCTGGCTTCCAGGAAGCCCAGCACCAGGCCCTCTGCAGATGCAGGAAATGAAGACCCCAGAAGGCACACTATGAATGCCCTTTCTCCACAGTTCAGAATATTCTCTCTGCCTGTATTGGGGAGTGGGAAGAAGGTTTGGGGGTCTACACTGCCCCACACCACAGAGAACTTTTTGAAGAGCTTAGTTCTCAAACATCCACCTTTCCAAGGTAGAGTCTCTCATCATGGGGTGCTTTTAAGAAGCTCTCCTCCATGGCTGGGTGCCCTTCAGTGATGGGCTGGTCAAATTCTTGAAGAAAATGACCTGATGATTTGAAAAGCTTAACGTCTGCTTAGTAAGGCACCAAAAAGGACCGAGAGCCAGTTGCCATTGTTAGAAAATCCATCTGGACCACCCTAAACTGCTTTAGGGGGGTAAATACTGACATTTTAAAATAAAACTTTAAGTTATCCTTCCTTTTAAATATATTCATTGAAATCTATAAACCATTGCAATTTGTTACCCACCATCATCTATCAAAGAATACATTCCAATTTATTTATTGGGAATTTTAGATGGTTTCTTTTTCTGCTTGAATTGGTATTTACATTTTTTTCTCTCCATAGAATTTTATACTGATTTAATATATTTCAATTCTATGAAATCATTAACAATTCTTCCATGTTCATTTAGTTTCTAATCTAAAAAAGTCTTTAGAATTGAGCTAACATTATAATTAGTTATATAAACAACATATTTTGATAGTTATTAACAAAATAAAAATTTATTGGGAAAGTTTCATTTTGTTAAATGACAGGTTTGTTTTCCCACCTCTTTAACTGAATTGTGTGGCTGTGGATGAATACTGCTTACTGTCAGAATGAGATGGATTTCAACATGAATTATTCCTTTTTTTTTTTTTTTTTTTTGAGACAGGGTCTTCCTCTGTTGCCCAGGCTAGAGTGCAGTGGAGTGATCATAGCTCACTGCAGCCTTGAACTCCTGGCTCAAGCAATCCTCTTACCTCAGCCTCCCAAGTAGCTGAGACTACAGGTGCATGCCACCATGCCTAGCTAATTTTTGTATTTTTTTGTAGGGATGGGCTCACCATGTTGTCCAGACTGGTCTCAAACTTTTGGGTTCAAGCGATCCTCCTGCCTCAGCCCTCCAAAGTACTGGGATTACAGGCATGAGCCCCTGCGTCCGGCCCTTATTTTTTATTTTCTGGAGGTAATGTATTTACACAAATAAGTGAAAGGAAATAGAGTTTTTATTATAGATATTAAATATGGATATCTATAGATAGATGTATTTTAATTATTTATACTTCTGAATAATGTCAAAATTTATATAT